TCCTCCGCCCTCCATCCTCCATCCTCCATCCTCCACCCTCCATCCTCCACCCTCCACCCTCCATCCTCCATCCTCCATCCTCCATCCTCCATCCTCCACCCTCCGCCCTCCACCCTCCATCCTCCGCCCTCCGCTCCGCCCTCCACTGCCTCTGATAGTGCTCTGCTTCAGAATGGCGGCGCCTCATGATTCAAGCACTGTAGAGCACAGGCTGAGCCCCCCAGCTTCCAACTCTAAGACAGACTTTTCCATGAAAGAGGGGCCACAGGGCCGCACCTGGGCAGGAGAGCAAGACGAGGGCAGACAGAGCTACAGCGTCTCCCAAGGTGGAGAAGGGAGGCTTACGGCAGGATGCGGCCAACCTGGGGCCCCTGGGAGGGAGGAGCCACAGGGGGATGGTGAGGAGGGAGAGCAGCCTGGGGGAGGGAGGAGCCACAGGGGGATGGTGAGGAGGGAGAGCAGCCTGGGGGAGGGAGGAGCCACAGGAGGATGGTGAGGAGGGAGAGCCTGGGGGGGCAGCCCGTGAAGGAGATGGGAAAGGGGCTGGGGCTGAAGCTCTCGGCCTGGCAGAGAGAGGAAGGAGTGGGTGAAGCGTGTGGGCAGTGGCGAGGCTCAGGAAGGCTTAGCCACAGTGAGGAGCCCAGGGCACTGCCACTGCCTTGAATAATCTATCTCCCATCCCTCCCCCCCCACGGTGCCTATGCAGGGGTGCGGGCACCCTGGAGAGTGAGCGGCATACTGAGCTGTGGCAGACCCCAACGCTTAGGCAGGAGGCCTCAGATCCGTCCCTGGGTGCCAGTGGCTCACACCTGTCATCCTAGCTACTCAGGAGGCTGAGATCTGAGGATCACGGTTCAAAGCCAGCCTGGGCAGGAAAGTCCATGAGACTCTTTTTTTTTTTTTTTTTTGTCAGTCATGAGTCTGAACTCTGGGCCTGGGTGCTGTTCCTCAGCTCTTCAGCTCAAGGCTAGTGCTCTACCACTTAAGCCACAGCACCACTTCTGGCTTTTTCTGCTTATGTGGTGCTGAGGAATCGAACCCAGGGCCTCATGCATGCAAGGCAAGCGCTCTACCACTGAGCCACCTTCCCAGCCCCTAGTGTTATTTTTTTTTAACTGTAGTTTGTTCTACTTTCCAAATGCTGGTACCACATAGAGGAAAGAAGCCTCCATTCACTGTCCCGTTAGGATTCCCGCCAGCTGCTCTCTAGCCCTTGCTCACGTTTCCTCTGCACACGCTGGCATGCTGTGCAGGCACACTGTAGCCAGCACTGTTGGACATAACAAAGTATGTATCGCTTATTTGCCCCAAAGCCACTGAAATGCTCCACATATCCTCACGCATCCAACTCTGACTTGGGCTGCCGTGCCACGTCGTGGGCCCACAGCACGCGTGCTCCCCTCCCAGGGGACGTCTTGGTGTTCCTGGACAGCCACTGCGAGGTGAACCGAGTGTGGCTGGAGCCTCTGATGGCGGCCATTGCCGAGAACCACCATGTGGTGGTGTGTCCGGTGATCGACGTCATCGACACCATGACCCTGGAGTACAGGCCCTCTCCCCTCGTGCGCGGGGCCTTTGACTGGAACTTGCAGTTTCAATGGGACACTGTTTTCTCTTATGAGATGGACGGACCCGATGGACCCACCAAGCCAATCCGGTGAGCTGCTTCTGGGGAAGGGGAAAGGGAGATGGGTAGTGGGGCTTGAGAAGCACACCTTCGGAGATGATTCCTGGGGTGTCTTGGACTCGGCGGAAGATGTTGTGTCATGGCAGGAGTTGGTAGATGTTGTTTCCCTGGGTGAAAACGTGCATCTCATCCAGGCCGAGGCTGCTGCACTTGGACACAGTCTCCGACCTCCAGCACCTCTGTCAGGAAGTGCTCGCTGCCCTGGGGAACAAGTTGTAGGACGGACGACCAAGCGACAGAACCAAGGGACAGAACCCAGGGTCAGAAAGCCAGGGTTCAGCCAGAGAAGGCGGAAACCTTCACCCAACTCAGACGCAACTCGCCACTCGGGGCTTTCCCCATAGAACGGCAGAGGTTAACGTACACATGACTTGCTTAGACTTTTTTCAGGTTTAGAAGATGTACCTTTAAATGTGTGCACAGCTGGATTTGCTTTGAAGTCTCCAGGCACTGGGCCGCACTTTGGCTGCTTCAGCTGTGTTGTGGGGGCCACGTCTGAAGGGCTTTCCTCCTGGCCAAACCCTATATTCCTGCTGACTCTCACACCTCTCCTCTCCTATGATGGACCTTTTGGCTTCAGACGCCAGATATTTCAAGTTTCTAACACTTAGCAAGTCCTTGGTCTTTAAAAAAAAAAAAAATGTGTGTGTGTGTCTGGTCATGGGGCTTGAACTCTGGGCCTGGGTGCTGTCCCTCAGCTCTTCAGCTCAAGATGAGCACTCTACCACTTGAGTCACAGCGCCACTTCCAGTTTTCTGAGTGGTTTATTGAAGAGTCCCATGGACTTTTCCTGCCCAGGCTGGCTTTGAACCATGATCCTCAGATCTCAGCCTCCTGCGTAGCTAGGATGACAGGTGAGCCACCAGCGCCCAGCTCCCTTGGTCTTTGTCTCCAGTCCAACTTAGAGCTTTGTGTCTTACTCAAGTTACGCAATCTCATGAGCCTTATTTCCCTCATTTGGAGAACAATACTTCACAGGGTTGTTACAGGAATAAGGGGCACCTGCAAACGCATTATTTGTTAGCTCTAATCATTCTCTGTTTTCTCTGGACCCTCATCTCTAACTTACCGGGGAGGGTGGTACACCTCTTGAGCCACCACGAGGACCCCCTGCCTCCTGCTTGTCCTGGACGCCCTCTGGATCTCCAGCCTCTAGATTCTCTTCCTCCCCTGATAGTGGTCTTTCTTAAGAGGTCTGGCTTTTCTGGCCGATACATCATTTCTCCTCTTGCCAGCACCTTGGTGGCTGTGTCTTCTTGCTGTGGCCATAAGCTTGGCATGTCTCCGGCACCCTCTGCCCTCCTCGCTCTTCTTCTGCCAGAAGTTTGAGACATGACTGTGCCGCTGCATATCAAAGGCAGCCTTGTGCTGTGTCGCAGCCCCTTCCTCACCCTGCCCGGTGTCCAGTCTCCCGGCTACAGCTGAGTTCCTCTCCCTGGCCTCAGACCTGGGCACCTTGCTTCTGACACAAGGACAAAATAAAGACCAGCTCAGCCTGGCACTGTGGCACACGCCTAGAGTCCTAGCTATTCAGGAGGTTGAGATCTGAGACTCAAGATCTTGATCTTTGCCTCTAGTCTAATTTAGACTACAGACAAATATGAGAGACTTTTTTTTTTGTCAGTCGTGGGGCTTGAACTCTGGGCCTGGGCACTGTCCCTCAGCTCTTCAGCTTAAGCACCACTTCTGTTTTTTTGGTGGTTCATTGAAGATAAAAGTCTCACTGACTTTCCTGCCTGGGCTGGCTTAGAACTGTGATCCTCAGATCTCAGCCTCCTGAGTAGCTAGGATGACAGGTGTGAGCCACTGGCGCCCAGCAAGGGTTGTTTTTTGTTTGTTTGTGTTTTTAACTATTTTTTTGTCTTTTCTCTTTTGGTCCTGGGTATTGAACCCAGGACGTTGCACTTGCTGGGCATGAGCTTTGCCACTGAGCTACATCCCAGGAGTCTGAGGCCAGCTTTGACCATACATTGTCTCCAAAACACAAGGGCTGAGGAGAGAGTTCGGGGGTGGACTGGCTAGCGTGATAAGGCTCTGCGTTCCATCTTTAGCCAAAAACTGTGTCCCTCACCGAAGCAGCAAGTAGGGCGGTGGCCACTGGAGTCTGCTGGACAGTGAATCTGGAGTTCTTTTGTGCAAAGTGGCTATAGCTAGAAGAGAGGATTCTGAAAGTTTTACTACAAAGACATGGTAAATGTACCCAGACGCCGGTGGCTCCCGCCTGTCATCCCAGCTACTCAGGAGGCTGAGATTTAAGGATCACAGTTCCAAACCAGCCTGGGTGAGAAAGTCTGTGAGACTCTTATCTCCAATAAACCACTAGAAAACTGGAAGTGGCACTGTGGCTCAAGTGGCAGAGCGCTCGCCTTGAGCTGAAGAGCTGAGGGACAGCGCCCAGGCCCAGAGTTCAAGCCCCAGTACTGACAAAAAAAAAAAAAAGGTAAATGTTTGAAATGATAGAAATGGCATTACCTGGTTTGCCTATTACCCAATTTATAACATTTATTAAAACATCACATAGTACCTCATAAATTTGTATATTTAACTGGAGGTGAAACACACACAAAGAACATATTGCTTACATAATTTGTTGAGTGTTAAATAAAGGTTAGTACCTGTATCTTATGGACTTAAACATTTACCTGGATATATATTTGTTTCCTAGTTTCTAACTATATTGTCACTATTAACTGATTTATTTTGAAGGAAAATGTGTGGTTACAGAATCAGTTTAACCTTTGTGTCTTCTTTCTAGGTCACCTGCAATGGCAGGAGGGATTTTTGCTATACACAGGCTTTATTTTTATGAAATCGGACAGTATGACAAGGGCATGGAACTTTGGGGAGGAGAAAATGTGGAGATTTCGTTGAGGGTAATTCCACCTTTTTCTGTGTGTGTGTGTGTGTGTGTGTGTGTGTGTGTGCGCGTGTGTGTGTGTGAGTGACATGCACGTGTGCATGCTTGCATGCTGATCCTGGGATTTGAACTCAGGTCCTGGGGCTTGAACTCGGGCTGGCCGCTGTCTCTCAGCTCGAGCACTCTACCACTTGAGCCACAGCGCCACTCGTAATTGTATGCTTATTCCAATCTTTTTCTGTTTTGGATTTTGCCCTCTTTTCATTTGCCTTCCTTCTGTATGCTAGTTACTTCATTTCTTTCTTTTTCTCTTTTTTCTTTTTTTTTCCAGTGCAAGGGTTTGAACCCAGGGCTTTGTGATTGTTTGGGTTGCTTTTCAGCTGATGGTCCACCACCTCAGCCATGCCTCCAACCTCGTTTTTTTCCTGGTTATTTTGGAAATGGGATCCTAAGGCCTTTTCTACTGGGGCTGGCTTTGAACCGTGATCCTCCAGATCTCAGCTTCTTGGATATCTAGGATTATAGGCGTGAGCCACGAGCCGTCTTTAAAGTTCTCTTCAGCACAGACTTACTTCATAATGCTTTCCCTGGGATGCAGAGTGCCGCATCCGCGTGCTACCCCCACCGAGCTCTCCCTCCCGCCCCCCCACGCCCTCCCTCCTGGCTCGGGCAGTGTGTGAGAACACACGTGGACACCCATGTCTTTGGTGCTTTCTGCTCTGTTTGGTTTATTACGTAGTGAAGTTGGGCCCTAACGACTCAAAAAACACACCCTGTGTCTCAAAACAGAATCACTTTGTGACTGAAACGTGCATGTGTGAAAAGCAAATGTCTTCCGTCTGACTCGGTGTCCACAGACAGGAAACGCGCTGCTCAGCCCTTCCTCCAGGACCGCCGCCACTCGGCGCCTCACGGCCTTCACGCACCCGAAGCTGCCAGGCGGGAGTCTCGAAAGCCCTCTCTTGCCTGATCTCCTGTCACCACCGGCCACGCCAGGCCTGCACACACCTTCACCTCTCCTCTGCCCCTCCTTCGAGGACACCCCTACCCCAGGAGGCCTGTGGCCAGTGACTGCGGCTGGTAACTGCGGCCCTGCCCTCCACTCGCGCAGTGCGCAGCGGGGAGCTGCGGGCCAGCCCTCCTCAGAGGTCTTCTTGGTCTAGGACGGCCTTCCAGGCTCCCCTGGCTCCGTTGGTTGCCTTCTGTTTCCTCTGCCCCCTGCTGGACCTCCTGCTGGACCTCTCACCCCATGTTCGCTTCCAGACACCCTTCCCCCCCCCCCCCCCGCTGGAACTCGGCCTCCTTGTCTTTGGGAAGTCCCACCTATTTCTTTGTCTGCTGTGTGAGCACCTGCACTGTGAGCTGACCAGGGCCTGCCCCGCTTCCAGCCAGCCGCCAGCCCGGCTCCGCCTCCCAGTCTGCTCCCAGCCGGGCAGCGCTGCCCGCCCTGTGGGCTCGTCTCTGCTCAGGCCTGTGCCGCTCCTTCCGAATGCTTAACACTGCACCCGCCTCGGCTCTCCGCTGGAACTGTAGTGTGGCCTCGGATTGTTTCTCTGGAGTACTAAGTTCAATTCTGCCAGCGCTCAGGGGGCCTTCCTTTTAGTTGCGCTGTGCAGGGCATCCAAGCGGACATGGTGGCCCATTCATCACTCATCTGTGTTTATCAAGCACCACACACAGGGGTGCACGCACACGCGCATGCACACACACACACACACACACACACACTGCAGTGCTGAGCCAGGGCCTGGTGGCTCACACCTATAATTCTAGCTACTCAGCAGACTGAGATCTGAAGATTGTGGTTCGAAGCCAGCCCAGGCAGAAACATCCATGAGACCAGCTAACCAGCTAACCAGCCAAAAGCCAACCTTGAGCAAAAAAGCTACGGGACAGCTTCCTGGTCCTGAGTTCAAGCTCCAGTACCAGCACAGAACAAAGCAAGGTGCTGCATTATAGCAGCACACAATGGAATTAGTTGGTGGTTGACACAAGGACACTGTGGAACAGTGGCTGGGGTTAGTGTGACTAGGGTGACAGAATTCCAGCTGTAAGCAAGACAATCCAGGAGAACCGAGGCCCTGAGTTCAGCCCCAGCATGTGTGTGTGTGTGTGTGCGCGCACACACACACGTGTGCAAAAGCACAGGTGGCTGGGAACAAGAGCATTTACCTCCTGTGTGTCTGGTGGCCAGGCAGCTCTGCTTCAGTCTGGACGCCATCTCTAGGAGCAGCAGCGACTGTCAGCTGCTCCTCTTACACTGAATGGCAGAAGTTAAAAATCAAGTCAAAACCCACAGTACACGCAGGTCTTGGCGCATGTGCTACCAGCTGCAGTTTTCTGGCCAAAGCAAAGACAAACTCCAAGTGTATGTGTCAGGGAAATTTCCGTGGCCCCAAGGTAAAGCTTGGGAAGTGAGCCAATGTTTACAGAATGCTCAAGTTTCTGGAAAGAACAGCTAAGTGGATGGAGATCCTCTTTAATAAAGCCAGTGTGAGTGGACAAGGCCACCTCGTGTCAGCGTTGGCTGTGTAACAAACGGCTCCCAGTGCCCTGGCTTTACACTGCAGGCAGTCCTATTGCTTCCAAATCATTGTGTCACCCCGTGGGGCTGGTCTTAGCTAGAATGTCTGATGGCTGCCGTGTTCACCTGGAGGCTCAGCAGCAGCTAGGGTCGCCGAGCAGGCCGACACTGGAGGGGCCACAAGATTGGCAAAACGAACCACAAGCCAAAATCAGAGACAAGAATGGAGGAGAAATGATGCTACAGAGCCATAGTAATACCGGCTGTGTGGTGCTCCACAAAACATTCACAGACCAACAGGACAGAAGAGCCGGAGTCAGCCCCACACCACATGTCTACACACAACTAACTTTTGACAAAGGCACCAAAAAACATACGTGGGAGAAAAGACAGTCTCTTCAGCAAGTGCTGTTCAGAAACTAAACACGGACGTGCCGAGGGCTGAGACTGGACTCGAGTCAGAAAACTAAACATGGACGTGCCGAGGGCTGAGACTGGACTTGCGTCAGAAAACTAAACATGGACGTGCCGAGGGCTGAGACTGGACTCGCGTCTCTCACTCCGTGCAACGTCACCTTGATAAGTCTAGGCACTGGTGGCTCACACCCGTCATCCTGGCTACTCAGGAGGCTGAGATCCGAGGATCATGGTTTGAAGCTGGCCAGGGGAAGGAAGGCCTGAGTGTGGATAAGCTTGTCCGTTGCCTTTACCTCCCCCGCGTATTAACGTGGTCTTGGTTTGCCTCGTCAGATTTGGATGTGTGGAGGCCAGCTCTTCATCATTCCTTGCTCCCGCGTTGGGCACATCAGTAAGAAGCATCTGGAAAATAGCCTGGCCATCAAGAAAGCCAAGCTGCGGAACTCCCTGAGAGTGGCCCACGTGTGGCTGGATGAGTACAAG